AAGGTTATTTCGTAGAAATATTATCAAAGTAGAATTGGTCTTAAAAAAGCTGGTCTTATGAGAAGAATGAGATACAACGGACAGATAAAGCAGATCACAGAACAGTACGCAAAGATATCTTAAAAAACGAAAGAAAAGTTGCCGATGTGAAAGAGGGATTACGCTTGAAAAGCTATGTGGATGAGAGAGGCCCAAAATAATGAAGAATCGTGCGGTTGCCGGCCGCATTGCTGGCGAGAAGAAACGAAGTGGTGGAATAACTGATGATCAAAGAAAGTGTCGAAACACTTGGAAGGGACAGTTACACTAAAAATTAACAAACCGGAATGTTTCAGGACAATTTTCGTATCTTCCACAACGCTAGCATCTTGGCCTGGCGTGCTGAAGCTGAAGGATGGTGTGCCAAAATACGAGCCATAATAGCCTGCTCCTGCTCTACTGAAATATTACCATTATTAAAATGCTGGAATTAGAGGGAGCTGGTCACTTGCTGCTCATCTTTTCATCACGTCACACTAACCCGTTGGAAATGGGAATTCCGTTGCTTACAATCGATCATGTGGCATCCAGTCACTCAAAATGCGAGTAAATTTTCTCGACAGTTGTTTTTTTGCAAACACAAGTTATTACTGAAGTACCACCTGACGAATAAAATAATGTGGCACCCAAACGATCCCAGCATTAGAACTTACTCATAAGTGTCGTACAGCATGCCACGTGGGCTTCCCAAAACGCTGTAATTGAGTTTGCTCATGTCCCCAACCAGCATCTTATCAGTGAGTTCACGTCGTCGACGTCGTTCGCTACTCAGTTGATCACGCATGATATTCAGTTGATTCTCTAGCTGATTGATGCGACTCTTCAGTGATCGCTCGCGATTTTCAATTATTCGTTCGATCTAGAGAAAAAATCGGATTTTCCAGAATTATGGCTCACCAAGACAAATTTCAAAATCAAAAACTCTATCTTATGCGAGCCGATGGAAAGTCAGAAATAGCCTGAGTGGTAGCCCAATTGTTGGTAAGACTGCCGATGGCTTCGTCTTTCGAGAACTGTTTAATCGCTTCCTAGCGTGTTCCATTAGCAATTCTCCATCGAGATGAATCGTAAACAGACTGTTTGTCCTACCGAAGGACGTACGATTAACAAAAGCATCTCAGCCAGAATCTGGGAATTCCCACTAATGGTTAGTGTATTTTGTGTATTTAGATGCAATCGCAACTTGGCTGACAGCATCGCTATTGCATCCAAATAAAGAGACTTGGATGTCTCAGGTTAGGGAAGCAAATTGCATTCCTGAAAACCCTTGGAGTCCTTGAAAATCCCTGAAATCCTTGAAAGTCTCTGAAAATCGCTGTAGCAGAAAATTTAGCTATATATAGGCCACTAAGTCCAGTGAACGCTATTAATTTCAAGCACACGGGTATTATAGCTCTCATTATTAAGAGCACTGAAACAATCTCCCGAGAAACACTGACTGCTACACTTTTT